TATATGTTTTTTTCGTTGCGGAATGAATTCGAAGATATTTATTAAGTACTTTTGATATATTTCTGCAGCAAGGGCCACAGGACTCTCCAGTTCAATGTCTTATAAAACGTGACAAGAAGAATGCAACATTTTACCTTTACCTTGCTCTCTCACCATGTAAGTAGGCTTTGTTGCGGAGTTTGTATGATGCATGCTGACTGATTCTGAATTTGCCCTTTCTGCTGAATTGGGTCTGATGAGAATATGTCGTAAATAATGCTTGAAGTTACGAAGGATAGATAGGATACTTTGCTTATGGTAATATTTGTGGGACGATAACAAAATTCTTGATTCTTCACGATGTTTTACGTATTTACGTGAATATCCATTATTAACTGAACTTCTTGGTAGTTTATCAAACTGGGGCATTGTTTGTAGAATATTTAGGTCGACTTTAATGTTTTCATTACTTGACGTGTAGGTTTCTGATTGGTTATTGATTATAAATACAGCAATGACTTACTGTACTCTGTAGTATGAAATTATAGATATTTGTTCTTGTTTCCTGTTGGGCTCTAGCTAGTACTTATGGAAGGGTGATACTATTGTTATTTTTATTTTTTTCAATCAACACACTCACTTAGTATTACTCCTCCTTCATTTACGTGATTCTGTTTGAATCACCTATGAGCATTTCACTTGGAGAAATTTACATTCACTTAGTTCCTTTTGTAGACACTTTGAGAATTCCGACATTGGCAAGGTATAATGACATTAGAAATAGGACCTGCTTGGTTTATTAATCTTATTTTGACAAAGTGTATTTTAAAAAAAATATATTACGATAACTTAGTTCATAAAAGAATATTTTTTTGCTGTCTCATAAGTTTCTTGACCACCCCTTATATGTTTGCCTAGCTATTATCACGTGTTTCCTTGTATTTGTGCCTCTGAGATTCTAATGGGGATATTTTGGTCTATCCATTTTACAGCATTCACTGACAAAGGGAAGTTTCTCCTAGCCGCACGTAGGTACAGAAGTCGTGCCCACACTGAATACATAATATCACTCGATGCAAGTGATTTATCTCAAGGAAGTAAAGCTTATGTTGGAAAATTAAGGTAAGGATTTTTATCCACCTTAATAATGTTAGGTATTGAAGACACTGGTTTGTCTATGAATAAATATGGTTGCTTAAAGGTTCGTTAATATAGCTCGAGCCTCTGTAAATTTTTAAACCCTTGGTTAGGTAGCTTTTGTAGTGAAAACATATGTATAATTGATTGGTCTGAGGCTGAAGACACCATGCTTCGATTTACTTGCTAATATTGGTGAGAAAAAAGTTGTAGAATCCTGATGATTTGTTTAATTATATTTTTCTGCAAACGAAATTAAATCATGGTCGAGCTTTCCATATACAAGATTTGCGAGCAGTTTGGGATAAGCTAGCATATAGCTTATGAGTGATTTTCGAGCTTAATAGGTTATAGCCTATGCTTATAGCTGAAAAGCTAGCTTATATGATAAAAGTGTTCGGTAAAATTATATGATAAGCTAGCTGAAATTAAATTTCAACAAGCTTATTTGAAAAGCTACCCAAAAAAGCTTATGAGATGAGCTCGAACTTTTTAAAAAAGCTTGTTCTATCAAATGAATCTTATTTGAATACAGGAAGCTTACAAATTAACCAAATAAGCTATACGCTAGCTTATTTGGTTACCAAACATAGCCTTAATTTTGATTTTCATGAAAATCGGAATCAACCTTTATATTTGTCGATTTTAAGGATTTTTCCCCATTACTCCTCTTCTTGTTAACTTCTAACAACCAATCATTCGCCTCCTTCACATCAGGTCCAATTTCCTTGGCACCAACTTCACAATTTACGATAGCCAGCCGCCCCACAGCCGGGCCAAGCCATCCAGCAGCCGGGCCTGCCGCCGTATAGCCAGCAAGCAGATAAGCCCGCAAGTCCCCGCAAGCAACTTTGAGGTGGGCCAAGTCTCGTACAAATTCAACCTTCTCAAGTCAAGGGGCCCAAGGCGAATGGTGTGCTCCCTCACGAGCCCATCATCCGATGAAAAAAACAACTTGGTGGGCCCGAGATCGCCAGCCGGGCCCGATTTGGTCCTGAAGAACAAGGCGCCTAGATGGCACGAGAACTTGGAGTGTTGGTGTTTGAATTTTCACGGTAGGGTCACGGTTGCCTCGGTTAAGAATTTCCAAATGGGTGGGAGTGTGGATGATGAGGAGACGGTGATTTTGCAGTTTGGGAAAGTGGGGGATGACACTTTCACGATGGACTACAGGCGGCCCTTGTCGGCATTTCAGGCGTTCGCCATTTGTCTCACGAGTTTCGGGACGAAACTCGCGTGTGAGTGAGGTTTGTGGGGGGAGATTAATTTTTTGAAATTTTTACTTTGTTTTTTCCTTTCGTTTTTTCTTTCTTTCTTCCTTTTTTTTTTCTCTTCTTCCTGG